CGAGAAAGATGGAGAGAGAGAGAGAGAGGAGAGAGAGAAGGAGAGAGGACTGATTCGAGAGAGAGACAGAAGACGGAGGAGGAGAGAGGGGGAGAGGCGCAGGAGAGAGACGAGAGAGAGAGAGAGAGAGAGAGAGAGAGAGAGAGAGAGAAAGAGAAAGAGAGAGATGTGTGTGTGTGTGTTCCGGCGTCGTTGGCGCGAGAATAAGACTGACAAACTTAATCATGTTTTATCAGGCCGTGACGTAATCAATATCGCATAATATCGGCAAACAGCCGTCTGTTTACGTTGGCGGACGCCGGCGCTTTCACCGCCGAGGCCGGGACAGTGTGCGCGTATTTTTTCTTGCCACCGATCCATTTCGGACATTTTACTCGAGCGTTGACTGTGCAAACATTCATTACCGTCGGCCCGCAAGTCGACGTGGAGTAGCGGCATTCGGAAGTTTCGCTTTGTAACGCAAATGATCAGCCGTCGTGGCAACGTAACAAGGAGTACGGCAGCACGTATATTATCAGGTTAATCAATTTCAGTGGTATCGATATCTATGTCTTACTAATAGACTCACTTCGTTGAATAGCGTAGAAGGCAGAATCAACAGCGCGTTGTCTCGCATTATGCTGATGATGACAGTAATATGTGTTAATTGACGTGTTAGTTTATACGAAATGTTGTTTTACATTTATTATATTTATGTTTGTTTTATTTTGCTTATTTCATTTTTTGTTATGAAAGCGCTACTGTTATAATCATATATTAGATGTATTACTACAGACAAAATCCTCCACATGTTTTATTTCCTCGACATTTTTTATTTATCTTGTTTCATAATGATAATAAACGCTGAAGTGTAAAATTATTGCCAAAACTTCGCTTTGCTAGTAACTCGGTGCTACGTGTGAGGAATCCAAGTATACGGCACATGTAGAGCGTATAGTGACGTAACCCTACACAGACTGTCCTGTGAAACTGCTATCCAACGCCATCACTACGATAGCTGCGAAATACCACTAGAGATAGATATAAAGGGAGAGAGGGGGAGAGAGAACGAGAGGGCGGGGTGAGAACGAGAGGGGAGAAGTAGAGAGACGGTGTGTGGGCGAGAGTGTGAGAGAGTGAAGAGAGTGAACGGGAGAGCAGGGGTGAGAAAGAACTAGAGCGAGAGAGAAGTAGAGAGACGATGGGCGAGAGGGAAGGAGAGAGAGAGGGGAGGAAGGGAGAAAGAGAGGGAGAGTAAGGGAGAGAGAGAGAGAAGTAGAGAGATGATGGGTGAGAGGGAAAGAGAGAGAGAGAGAGAGAGAGAGAGAGAGAGAGAGAGAGAGAGAGAGAGAGAGAGGAGGGAGATAAGTAGAGAGACGATGCGTGGGTGAGAGGGAAAGAGGGAGAGAGAGAGAGAAAGCCAGAGATGAATCACGCTCGCAGCTCTGTACCTCGTGCACACGCCGACGACAGCTCGCACGTATACACACGGCAATTGTCATCCATTGATCCACCACGAATGACTAACCCGCGGCCCCGCTCTCTACCAGAGCACCTATATGATATACGTGTATATCATATATATACACCCGTGCGCGATGTGTGTGGTTGCGCTGCCGCGCTGCGCTGCGTGCCGTGCTGTGCGTGCGCTGTGTGGGTGTGTGCGTCGCTACGTGCGTGCCGTGCGCTGCGTGCTGTGGCGTGTGTGTGTGTGTGTGCTGTGTGTGTGTGTGTGTGTGTGTGTGTCTTTTGTGCTGTCTGTCTGCAGAGCCGTCACAACAGTTGGGAAAATCAAGACAAGCGCTATCACTTGCAGATAATTCACGTCAGCGCTTTTTCGCGGTTCGCAAAAACACGCAAAAAAGGCTTGCCTGGCGGCGCTGCCCCGACATGTGTTATGTCGCCGGC